GGCGGGGACGGCGGGAGGTGCGTGATTTGCGACGCCGGCGGGCGTGACATCACGAGCCACGCGGAGCCGGGCGGCGTCGGCCCCTCGGCCGCCCCGCAGAGTTCCCCTGCTCGCCGTGACCAGCTCAGGTCACGACAGAGGTGACGGGTCAGCCGCCGACCGCAGGAGCGGCCGCCCGGCCGCCGGCGCACCCACAGGCCGGCCACGGCGCCGCCGTTAGGCCTCATTACGGACTCGCTTAGTCTCGTGGTGGCCTCACGGCCGACCGGCAGCGGCCGCTCCCTGGTCTGGACGCGACGGCCGAGATGAGCGCTGACACACAAAGGCGGCTAGCAGGCATTTTCGCCAAGCACGAGAGCAGCTGGACGAAAGGCTGTTTCGCGATTTTTGCCGCAAAGGTCGAGCCTTTCAACCACAAGCTGTTAGCGATGCGAAGCCTAAGTGATGTGCACGCAGTGCCAATAATTATGATGCTCGGCTGACCATAGTCATTCAAACCAATCACTTACGCTGAATACAATCACGTTACGGCAATTCTGCGTCAAAGTTGTTCAAACACAGCTACAACTTTATGCCTTGTGCAACTCCAAAATCATGGGTCGGCCGGCAGCCCTTCGCTGCATCACAAAGCGGGCCTTCACAGAAAGCTTGCCGTTGCCGGCGGCGCCCCGGAGGCCTGCGTGCGCCGCCCGGGAAGCGTGCCGTGGTGGCTCGGGCGCCGTGGGAACCCGGCCGGTGCGGACGGTCCAGGAGCAGGCACCTTCCGCCGGCCGCACCGCCAGCGTCCTCCCCACCAGCGCCACCTTGCAGAGCTGCGGCGAGACGGGCCTGCTCGCGGGACTCAGAGTAGAACTCTGAACCCAAACCCAAGTCGGTGAGGGAATTCGCTGGCCCCGGATAGGTAACTCAGAGCCTGATGAAAGGTCGAGGAGTGCAACTCCAAATCTGACCCCAGGTCGGAAAGTGCTGCATCTTCAAACATAACCCCAGGTGGGCGAATGCAACTATAAGCCTGAGCCCAGGTCGGGCAGTGCAACTGTGAACCTGAACCAAGGTCGAAGAGTGCAACTGTGAACCTCAACCCCGGTCGGCGATTGCAACCGTGGACCTGAACCCATGTCGGTATGTTTTGCGCAACGAGGTGACGGTGTGAAAAAATGCAGACGATGATGACATTGAGCATCTGCT